CCTCGGCCCTCTCCCGTCGATACTGGTTAGTGAAAGTTCGCCTCAACTCATTCTTGCAGGCGGTCCACGAGATCAATGATGTCTCCCGATTCTCGAACCAGTGCCTGGCCGTTCCTTCGAGCGCGAAATAAAGGTTCTGCAGGCGCTGGTCGTCCGTCCATCGGTTGTGCTGGGCCACCCGCTCGTACTGTTGAAGCCAGTCCTCGACGTCTTCGTGGGTGTCCCCGTGGAATGGCGTCGGAGTCCGGGGTGCGACTGGCAGGTAGATGAAGGCAGGAGCGGCCGGGGTCTGTGACTGCTGGCCGTCCATCGCCGGCTTCGTTGGCTGCTTGGTCCTGGGTGGCTGAAGTCCGTATTCCGGGTGTAGACCTTGGGTGCGGCGACTGGTCCGAGTTTCAGGTTCCGCGTCGGGTGGTCTTCTCACCGGGCTCGGAATCGGGCTTGCACTGCGGGCCCTGGGAGGGGAACGCTGCATGGGCATGCGCTACGCCCCGCGCCTCAACCAAAATGTCACGGGTGGTGACCAATAAACAAGAAATAAACAGGATTAAATAAACGTTTAATGTGGCAAACTTGTGCCAAAAATAAAAGGGTGCAAAAGATAATAACAGAGCGTCGCGGGCGTCGAAGTCGGCGTAGCAGCAGAGTTGAACGCTGGGGTGAAACTGACTCGACAAGTTTGCGAGTGGCGTCTTATCTAGAGGGAGTCACTATCTCGAAGATTCGGCGGAGAAGGTTCAAGCGTAGCGCGCTCGGGGCGAGAATGAACACGCACTTTCTAGAACAAAATAAGCAGGGATAAACGATACAAGTTATGTCCGGAGCAAGAATAAACGAGAAAGTTCTAGGTTTCCGTGACCCTGCGCGCGGCAATATCAGCATTGACTAAACAATAGTTAGCCGTAGAAGAGGGAAGTGGCGGAAAATAATTAACAGCCGCCGTTATGTCCCTAGCACACATTTATGATCATAAATTAACTTTTAGATAGCGATGCATCGTGGCCCAATGTTCCGCTCATAATTTTGAAACTTATCGTTTTAGCTTAAGGGAGCTTATTTCAAAGCCTGCCTCGTGTCTGCTGCTTTCGCGGAACGGGATATATACGCGATGGCAATAAAAGCCGTCTATGCATGCGCTGCCGACTTTCCTTACCGGATTGTGGAACTTCATCTGGATATGCGTGATAGTCCCCCCCCCCCCCCCCTCCCCAACCCCTGCGAGATATCGTCCACAGTGCATGTCCTTGCGTTTGCAGATCGCTGACTGGGCATCTTCCGCCTGGGAGATAGCTGCCAGAAGGGTCGATGTAGGGTGTTTCACCAAACACCGGCGAAGGTTTTGTGCAGAAACGAATCATCGCAAATAAATAATATTGCCACCTGATTAATCACTGTCAAAGGGCCTATTGAGAGAGGCATGCAATGTTTGAAACGACTAGGTTGATAATTAGACTTGCGTAATGAAGTTCTGGAATAATGAAGATAAGCATACGGTTCTATTAGACATTTGCAGAGCATGGTTGGAAATACAAAAACATATCCAAATTTAGTTAGACGTAGGACACGTGGGAAGCATAATGGTGTGCCAAATTGGCTGCTCTGAGACAGTCACAACGCTGGTGGAGAGAAAATGAGGACGATAAGAAACGGCAAACCGGCGGGGCTAGATACTTTTTCGGGGATCAGTAAAACCAAGTGCATGCTTCAAATCTCTCTGATGTCGAATGATTTTGTGGTGTTCGATTATGTCCAGCAACCTTCTTGTTGAAACTACTCGTTACATTTAAAAATTAAAATATCATTCAAGAAAGCTAATTATCAACCTAACGAATTTAAAAAGCAATGCTTTTTTACCTGTGACAGTCATTGATTCACTAGCACTCCTATTTCTGAGCGATACCTAGTTTTTACACAAACCTTGTCCGATGTTCGGTTCCTTAAAGGGAACGCGCCTCAACTACATTTGTCACGTGTTTTATACTTCGTGCGCCCGTTTTTTTTTATACGTGTTTAATGTTTTGTTTCCTTCTCCTATCCTTTGCTTGCCCCTTTCACTCCTCCTAACCCCCTCCCCCAAACGGAGTAGCGAACCAGGATTGTTGACCTAGGTTAACCTTTCTGTCCCTTTTTTACTGACCCCTTCTCTCTCTCTGTCTGTCTCACTATCTCTCTCTTTTTCAGAGTAAACTAAATACATTAGGTGCTTCCCAGTTTTGGTCAGCCTGATTATGCTTTCTTAAATTTTTCGTCTGTACTTCAAGGATACCAGATTCAGCAACCTAAGATATCGTCCGCGTCGACGTCGGCATCTTTAACGTCCGAGACATTTTCGACATCGTCCGACATCGTCGGCGACGTCAGGCGTAGAGTTAACGTCGTCCAACGGCCATGGACGGGCGTCGTTAGGTCACCCTGTCCGTTTTTGTTCCTTCAACTTGTATGTTCATTTCTGCCCTAGTCTCGCGTTCATTCAACATAATTAAAATTCCCCAGCTCGCCTGCACCCTTATTATATTATATATGGACGGACGTCCGTGGTCGTCGTCAGTGTACGGAAAGACGGCCTCGGATGCGCCGTCGTTGACATCCGAGATGTCTTCTTCGTTTAAAACGCCCTCACGTCGTCACGTCGTCATATCGCCGTCCTTGTCCAAGTCGTCGTCTATGTTGATGGGGTCAAAGGTCTCTTTGACTTGAGGTAGTATGAGGGCCTATTGTCACAGATTTTATTTTCAGATTTTATAGACAAATTTTTGTTGCGATTGCTTCGTGCAAACGGGTGCACAAAAACTTTTTTTTGCGTGTGTTAACATTAGGGTTAATAGGGTGAATATTTTTTTTTTAGGTAAAATCTTTAATATTCTGATGTTAGTTTTGACTGCTGACCAAATTTCCTGCTGGATAGAATATACAAAGAAACAGCCTATGACAGGGGCTCGCACGGTTACTTTTCTTTATAAATACCTGATACAAAAGAAATTTATAACATTTTAATGATAATGTAAGGCATATAAATGTGTTAAGCTTCCTTGATAAAATAAACTTGTAAAGTTATTATACCAACGCTCCTGTCAACATCAGCATTTGTAAAAAGGTTCCGGCCGCAATACGTTGGTGTCAAAGAAGCGGTACTTTTACAGAGGCTAACACTGAAATGAATAAGGAAAGTTTACGAGGAATAAGAAGTATTTCAGAAAATAAAACATATTTACTTTGGATACATCTGAGGACTGCAGCGCTATTAGCATCCTCGGGAGCGGTGGAGGATAGGAAATCAATATTTTTGTAAAACCGAATGTTCTTGAAAACATATCTATGTTCCTTGTGTTCATACCTGTAAACAATATACCTGTATTTGTTCGGTATTTAAAGATTACGAGGAATATAACAATTCTTGCAGTAGTTCAGCTAAAATAACTATTTTCGTCGGTTTGCTGAAAATAGCTGAGACAGCGTAAAGGTTAAATGCGACATTGACTACGAGTGTGTCCCAAGCGTGTGAAGACTACTACGAAACAGCCGTGCCAATTGTACCGGAATGTACAAGAGTACCATTGCCTCGCACACAAAACAATGGCTCTAGGCCGAGGTTTTGGGCTTGACTATTGCAAGGAAGGACCCCCAACCAATGAGCCAAGCTTGGGTGCAAAACAATAACCAACCAAGTCACGAGCATTCAGACGACCTCCAGCGGCTCTCACAGGCCTACAGTAGTGGCCACAAAAAGATGACTGGAAGAAATGTGGGGGAGCGTCCGACTTAGGAAGAATTGAGAACTTAAACGTCTCCAGGCTTTCGCATGAAGACTGTTTGAGCCTGCCCAATCCAAAGTAAACATCCCTTTCCTCGTCATAATTATCAGCACCAGTATGTTTGAAACGTTGGGAGTCAATATTTGTTTGTGACGACTCATGCTCGTGAATACAGCCTGTTGACATTGCTAAAGGCGTACTTTCTACTATACCTGTGATTACATTTTCTGGACATTTTAATCATATTTAGCTACTCGTGCGTGCTGCCATCTAAAATAATTCAGATAACCTAGATCGTGCTGACAGACTGGAAAGCACAGAATGTGTTCAGCTCACTCAAACGCATGCAGTGCATGGTCACGGAGGATGGATAATGGTCGCAAAATTCCACCTATAATGGCCACTGGACCATCTGACCACCCTTGGTCTACTACTTCTAGAGTGGTCACATTTGAGATGGGACCCCGCTGACCATAGTCAAGTTACCACCCATGAATGATTATCACGTAACGCCACGATTCATGTTCACGTGACTACGCGACCAAATTTGGTCCCCTATTTCCAGCATGTGACGAAGGGGACAATGTTCACGTACAATGCTCACGCCAGGTATTATATTCTTTGGGAAGATTACGATTCTATAATTCAGTGAGAAGAAATTTAAAATTTTGTCAAGATAACCCGTAGAAACCGACGTAAAAACAAAACAATTATGTCGGGCCCAGGAATGACAAGTAAACAATCCCGACGTTCAAGTAGGTATTCAATAAAAGTGTATTAGTGCCCTCTATGTATATCCCGGGGAACTTAAGAATTTTTACAGTAGTTTGGCTGAAATTATTATTTTACGGCGTTTTCCTGAGAATAGCAAAGGGAGGGCACATTGGGAGCATGTCCAAGAATTCTGAGGATGGTAGCGCGTCCAAGGGTCATGCTAACGTATTCCTTAAGAATCCACTTATGGATTCTCCTCTACTTCTTAAACTTTGTACAACAAATATATCCTACAGGAGCACAATAGGTTATAAAGGATGTCATTCTAAGTTCGTTCCATTGAAGAAAACGCACACCAACATTGACAAAAAAATTTTCTAGAAAATTTTAATGCAAAAACGTAATAAATGAATATGTGCAAAACAAAAATTCAAATATAGGAATCACTTGCTATGTTAATCCCACTAGGCGTTTAGTTGAGCGATTCTTTAGTCGTCTGTTACTTCTTTTTTTTTACGTTCGCCTCAGCACAGGTTAGGAGAACATTACGCATTCTCCGTGAATACACATCTGAAAAAAGAGGGACATATTAATTAGCCATATTTATATTGTTTCATTTCAAACGTCGTTTTCCTTTCTTAGATGAAACGTGATCCGTTCGACTGGCTTTGAATCAAGAAATTAACTTGTGACTGGTGAGTCTGGTGACGGTGTTGGGCGGTTCGGATCAATACTATCTAGAAGACAAAACCCTGCACCTGTCCCTCCTAAACGTCACCACTATGGTGTATCAACGCAGCTTCCCCTCACATGCGCCAGCATCGCCGCCAACGCGTCTTGCAGTGTCTCACAACGAGCGCGACGCTAACACGCGGCGACGCCAAGACAAAAGCGTCGGCCGCTTTGCGCCGTTTTTACGTAGAGCTTCAGCGTGTCTGCCGCTTGGGGCGGGTCGGGATCCACTAAGGATGACGCCACACGCAGGCAGGATACAGTGGGTGTCCTGCTTCTTCGACTGGTTTTCTGGTGCAGTGTCGTTGATCGTTCCCAGCAGAGGTATCTATTAGATGCCACAAAGACCGCACTGGCGAAAGCGCTCCCATTTTTTCAACTTTTTTCTTCTATCAGCTTTTCTTCCATCGCCCTTCCCCCCAATCTAAAAGCGACCTGCTGACCTCTGGTTATAAATCCTACCTTTATTTCCTCTTTCGCGTGTCTCTCACTTTTTCGCAACTCTCTCTCTCCCGTCGATTTCCTTGTGTTAGGTCTAGCAGTCAACAAACAACGGACAAAAAGCGTTTAAAAAAAATGCCGATAATGGTTTGTCATTCTTCCCTGCCTAAAATATGACAGACTGGGTTCCAAATCACACGGTCATTTGTAGTTCTCATGGCTGAAACTCCGCCATATTTGGTTTTGAAGTGCGTCGGGTATATTTAACACGCTCAGGCAAAACTCTCTGCATACGTAGGTCAAGGTACCGAGGTTTATCAGATATGATATAGCTTTTAAACTGTAAATTAAGATGTGTTTAAGGTGCACACTCGAAAAAAAAGTCTGTGCGTCTGCTTTCCCGCACAATACTCGGAGAGCCAATCACCGCGAGTTTCGGAGGCAGCTCAGCGAATGACGATGCCGAAAAATATGTTTAGACCAAAAAACGCAGTCTGAGTTGTGACATTAAGCAATGCAAGCGTGACGTTTTACATTGCTTAATGTCACAACTCAGACTGCGTTTTTAAGACTAAACATATTTTTCGGCATCGTCATTCGCTGAGCTTCCTCCGTAACTCGCGGCGATTGGCTCTTCGAGTGCAGTGCAGGAAAGTAGACGCAGATACTTTTTTTAGAGTGCACCTTGAGGAGTAATCGTTTAATGGAATCTTATATAAAGAAAAAAACATTCCTAGTGCCATTTTTACATCCACCGTTTTCTTCTTCTTTATTTCTCTACTAAACACTCATTTAAAAGGCAATCAGGCTGTCAGAAAAACTACAACACATTTCAGCAGTTGTCGGAGGAAATAGCCTACACGAAACTCAATGCATTTGCTTAAAGCATGACAATTAGGTTTAGAAAATGCCACTAGCCGTAAAAGAAGATTCTTTGTAATTAGATTGAAAGTGTGTTTTACAGAGTAGGGGATCAGAACGGTATTATCGGAAATTCAGTGCCTAAAATACGGATCCCTCGCTTTATTTAAAGCAACTCGTCATAGAGTATTTTGGGTACGTTAGAGAAAGTGGTCATCACAATATTTACGATTATCGGTTCAAAAATAGAAATGTAAAGCGCGTTGAAGATACCGTGTGCACGTTTGTCATTTTTCGTGCCAGTCACTAACTCCATGAAATCCATAAGGTAGACCGTTCCGTTTCGACTACCAAACCACAAAGAGTTGCTAGGTTTCGAATCCCGGGTGATTCCTTTCCGTGAAGTATCTCCAGCATAGCTCATAGCCTCAGCTGCTTTGCGAAGTAAAGCCTCAATAAATATTTTTCCCCACAGAGGAAGTTAAAGCCTCTAGTATAAAAAAGAAATACTTGAAAAACAACGATGTGCAGACTTTTCTCACTTTTTTATTTATAGTGTGGGAACCAGAAGAAAGGTTTCACGCATAAATATATTTACAAGTATTTACAAGTGGAATGAGACTGCAGTTCGCATCGCCCGATGCCGTCGGCGAGCCGTTCCGTTGGTGTCTCGAGAAACATCTGCCGCGCGTGTCCCGAGCTCAGCGCTTGCGCTTGCCGACCTCTTCGTCGTCTCTGTGGCACAACTACCACATATGCCCCCCTTGGACAAGTGGCCTGTGGCACTTGCGCTGGAGGCGTGGAGTGGGCGACAGCGTATTTTAGGGACATTGTGGGAGTTGTGTCCAAAGCAGAAACGAAGGCGGGCTTTAGGCGATTTAGTTAAACTGTTTCCCGACGACTTTTAGGAGCACCATGTAGAACTTCGGTGTTCTATCCATAACAAGGTATTGTCCGTAGTAGAGAGGTTGGAGGGGTTTCTGGGCAGAATCCAGTCGAATGAATACGTGCGTAGACTGGGCGAAGGCAGGGTGTATAAAGACTTGGCGCGCAGTGGGTTTTCGTGTTTGCGTCGGGCGTAAAGATGACATTGCCTCTCCAAGTCGTTGAACGTATGATGTTGGATCTATGGTGGTTGTTGTCATCGAAGGCTCTACCATGTCAGCTGGGAGACGAAGACGTGCCCCATAAACAAGCTCAGACGCGGTGCAACCTAGGTCTGGCTTCATGATTGAGCGGAGACCCAGGAGCACGACAGGAAGGTTGTCAACCCACGCGTCAGGGAGAGGTTGTGCTCGCAGAGCGGATTTGAGCTGCCGATGGAGGCGTTCAACTAGACCATTCGCAGCAGGGTGGTATGCTGTGGTTCGTGTTCGCACACAGCCAAGGAGTGATGTGAGTTGCTGGAGCAAGACTGACTCGAACTGGCGTCCTCGGTCTGTGGTGACTATTGAAGGGACACCAAAACGGCTGGCTCAGTTGAATACGAATGCTCGAACTACCGTTTCCGCGGTGGTGTTTTCCAGTGGTATAACTTCCGGTCATCGAGTAAATCTGTCCACACAGGTCAGTACGTCGGAAAAGCCGCGTGAAGATGGAAGGGGGCCTACAATGTCCACGTGGACATTCTCGAAGCGAGCCGAAGGCGAAGGGAACTTTCCTAGTGGTGTCTGTGTGTAACGCTGTATCTTTGATGTGTCGCAGGCCAGACAACAGCGCACCCAATCTCGGATGTCGGCATTGATCCTAGGCCATACGAAACGGGAAGTAACTAATTCCTGTGTTGCTCGTATGCCAGGGTGACAAAGAGAGTGAAGAGATGTATATACCGCGTGACGTAGATGACGTGGCACGTACGGGCGGGGTTTGCCGTTTGAAGTGTCGCAGATCAATGTAACGTTATTGTCAGGAAAACTCACTTCGTTGAACACGAGTGATGTGTCAGTCAGCCTCATGGAATGAAGTTCGTCGTCTTCTGCTTGAGCCGCGGCCAGTTGGGCGTAGGTGAAGTGCTCCTTATCCGTGTTGACCGCATTGAGGTCCAAGTGAGACAAGGTGTCTGCGACACTGTTGTCTTTTTCCTTCACATGATGGACGTCGGAAGTAAATTCCGCGAGGAAGGAAAGATATTGTAGCTTTCGTGGTGAATGGTTCTGGCTCGACGAGTTCATTGCGTAGACCAGTGGCTTGTGGTCAGTGGCAATAAAGAACGCGCGGCCTTCCAGAAAGTGTCTGAAGTGCTTAACAGCTAGGTATGCCGCGAGAAACTCCCTTCCGAAGGTGCTGTACCTCTGCTTGGCGTCTTGCAGTTTTCGCGAGAAGAATGATATCTGGTGTCCAAATATCGTTGATCTGTTGCAAGACACCACCAACTGCGACGTTCGAGGCGTCGACCATGAGGCACGTTGATGCATCTGAGGAAGGGTGCGCCAGAAGTGTAGCACTGGCTAGTTCTTTCCTTACTTTTTCGAAGTAGAGCGTCGCTTCCGGAGTCCATGTGGGGGGCGACTTTTCTCCTTTGGTTGTACTCAGTAGTGCTTCCAGCGGACGTAGAAGGGTGGAAAAATGTGGCAGGAAACGCCTGTAGAAATTAATGAGCCCAAGGAACCGTCCGAGAGCGCGCTTTGTTGTAGGACAAGGCGAATCAAGGATCAGCTTGACTTTGTCCTGTAACGGTCGGATACCGCGCGAGTCGACGTGATGACCAAGGAAGGTTAGCTCTGGCACTCCGAACTGGCACTTGTTAATGTTGATCACGATGCAATTTTCTTGCAGTCGTTTGAAGAGCTCGATCAGATGGTTCTTGTGGTCTTCTGAGTTACTGCTCGCGACGAGGAGGTGGTCGAGGTATGCGAAGCAGAATGGTAAGCCGCGAACGACCTGATCAATGAATCGTTGAAACCCTTGGGCTGCATTACGAAGCCCAAACGGCATCGTGACAAATTCAAACAGCCCAAACGGAGTGGTGATCGCCGTCTTGGGCACGTAGGCAGGCTCCACAGGGATCTGGTGGTATGCCCTTACGAGATCGATTTTCGAGTAAATGGTCGTGCCGTTCGGGAATGCTGTGCAGTCCTGAATATTCGGGATGGAGTAACGAACTGGCACCGTTGCCGCGTTAAGAGCGCGGTAGTCTCCACATGGGTGCCAGTCGCCGGTCTTCTTGGGCACCATATGGAGGGCAGAAGACCAAGGACTTGAAGACGGACGCACAATTGCAAGTTGAATCATGTGCTCGAATTCCTCACGAGCCATGCGCAGCTTTTCTGGTCCAAGGCGACGTGGTCGGCAGTGAACTGGCGGTCCGGTCGTGAGGATATGATGAGTAACATCATGCTTCGGCACTTTATCGATGTTTCTTGGTTTTGTCAAGTCAGAGTATTTGTCAAGAAGATGGGCGAACTTGGTGGAGGCTTCACCAAGGTGGGGCTGAGCGCCGGAGCTCGTGATAGGACACCCAACACGTGCATGTGGGTGGTAGCATCGATGAGCCGCTTGTTCGCCATGTCAACCAGGAGGTTGAAGTTGCGTAGGAAATCGGCCCCGATGATCGCGTACCCCACGTCTGCCACCCAGAACAACCACTGCAAACGACGACTCAGACCGAGATTCAGGGTCAGTGATTTTTGTCCGTATGTGGCAATGAGGGAAGTGTTCACCGCTTGCAGTGAAGATGTTCGGGCACGACTTCTGCGGTCGAAGGTAGTAGCCGGGATGATGCTTACTGCAGCGCCTGTACTGACCAAAAATCGGTACCAGTGATTCGGTCGCTGACATAGAAAAGGCGGCTGATGGGTCGGGTCTGGCCACTTGCCGCCGCTAGCGACCGACCCTCCGGTTTTCCTGGTCCCAGGATCAGGGAGCACCACAGTGGAGGGCCTCGGATCCGAACTGTTGATGGTAGCGGCAGAGTGTTCGGTCATACCGTGGGGATGGTGATGTCCTACGAGGGCTGGAGGGAGAAAACCGTCGTTGCAAGCGCTCTTGCGAATGACGCCATGACAAACCGGGTTGTTGACGGGCTTCTAGGCGAAGGTTGGCTACTTCGATAGTCAGCTTCTGCAATTCCTTGTGAAGTTGGGTAAGTTCCGATGTCACATCGGGTGCTGTTTGCGCGGCGTTAATTGTTGGTCCCGCAACTTCCATCATGCGGTCTGCTAACTCAGACAGTTCCGCCAATGTAAGGCGGTGCGCCGCTGCTAGTCCAACTCGAACGGCTGTCGGGAGATGTTGCAAAAATAATTCCCGCATGATGGCGGCGTCGAGGGACGAAGCTCTGTCACCTAGCAGATGTTGAAGGTGACGTAAGAACTGCGTCGGTCGCCTGTCACCAAGCTCTTCTGCGCTCAGAAGTTGTTGCAGGCGGCGCGGTTCCGAGGCGACGAGCCGGTTGACCAGTGCGTCCTTGAGGATGTCGTATGAATTTTCGCCAAGGGGGGCCCAGTAAAATGTCCCTCACCTCGGTAGCGGCTTCAGGAGGAAGAGCGTCGACGAGCAGCTCGTACTGTCGAGCCGGCGAGGTGATTCTGTGCAATCTAAACTTGTTTTCGACTTGCACGAACCAAAGGGACGTATCCAGTGCTCAGAACTTGGGCAGAGACAGAACCGCTGTTGTTCCGATGACTGGGGCAGCAGCTGCTGATGCCTCCGTTTCCATCGCTGCGGTAATCACGTTCGGGTCACGTCCGGGAACCAGAGTAAGGTTTCACACATAAATATGTTTACAAGTATTTACAAGCGGAATGAAACTGCAGTTCGCATCGCCCGATGCCGCCGCCGTGCCGCACCGTTGGTGTCTCCGGAAACACCTTCCGCGCGTGTCCCGAGCTCAGCGCTTTCGCTTGCGGACCTCTTCGTCGTCTCTGTGGCACAACTACCACAATAGTATATATCGTGACACCTTGCATTCCTCTACCGTCTTTTCTCCTTAATTTTACACTACCTGCTAATGCTCCGCTCCGCTCAGCCCCGTGCTCCCTGGAGCTCTCCTTCCCTCTCAACTTGAAATGGAGAGTAAGGACGAAAACAAACCGGAAAGGGAGAGACTACGAAACGTGAAAAGCGTGGTGTGTTCGTCGGCTGTTGGAACAATACTGGTGGCAACGAACAGAATAACTGGTTTGGCAGAATAGATTGCGTCAAAAGATGGATAAATGGTACCTACCTTATTTTTACTCATGAGGTGTCCACAAGCTCTTCCGTCAGGTTCCTTTACGTAATCAGTTAACTCATGAGTGTCTTTGTCGCAGCAAGACGGGTCCCTATCATTTCGTCGAAACTCGTTTCGTGGAATTACGTTTCGTGGACAACTTTTCATGGACACACGTTTCATGGACACACGTTTCGTTGACAGTGTGACGTTTCATCGACAATCGTTTCGTCGACAGCACCATCGTAAAACGTTTCGTCGACAAACTTTTTTTTTTGCGGCTCCGAAAGGAATGCAGGAAACTTAAGGTACATGTAAAATAATTTAATTATGACTTTCTTCTTGAGTGAGAGCGATGAAAAGGACATCCTGGATCGCAAAAGGAACGGGGTAGCAGAACAAAGAGAACGAAGTGCGCAATGATATAGCCTCCACGAATACCGAACGACGCAATACATACCGAACGCCTCAACGGATCAGAACGTTTCTCAAAAATGTAAATATTGTACATAAACCATTTCATTCCTTCTCTTAACGTTATTTAACAGTACATGCGCTTGTAACAGATGAAAAAGACGATGCCTAGCGCAGTTTCTCTCCAAGGTGAGCAACTGCGCTATTCTCTCGCTCTCATCCGTGTCAGATGGAAAAGCAAAAGTGCGCAGGACTTCGCACGCGGCCTATTCGGATATTTGCAAGTTCCGATGCCCGTTTATAGATCCGAAAGTTACTGGAAGAGGAAAAGCGGTGGAGAAAATATGCGTAGGCACAAAGCAAAACTTCGATCCAATGGGGTTGCGGAAAAGGGCGTTTTTCTTCTTCATATTGGTTATTTTTAAACAAAAATTTAGCTTGCAGCCTTTTATTGCAACATTACAACACTAATATTTCAATTGAAATTAAGCATGTTCATTACCCTCAATTATTCAAAAGGAAAAATGATGCAGTGTTTTACTGGCTGCTGCGACTTATACGCGAAAAAACTGTTTAGTCACACTCGTTTCATCGTCATTTATCCTTGGGCCGATTAAAAAGGACATTACACAATAAGGGGGCTGTAACCAATGTTAAATAAAAATAAATAACAAAAACACGAAAACTAATAACACTCGCACTACCGGGAGCGTGCTGCCCGCGAGTAAACCTAAAAAAAAATAAAAAATAAACCAGATTGCAATGCAAAAAATAAATAAATAAACAAATAAACACGATAGTTGGTTACAGATAAATAAAACAGTACACCATGTTTAGTCGTATTACACAAAGTAAGCCAGAGTTGATATCAAATGTGCAACTTAATGCATTATATAGCTTCTCTCGAGCAGCCGCCACATGCAAGGCCTTGGAGGCGGTAGTACCACTAGATGATATCTGTCGGCAGTAGCCGACTGATCCTCACACGCGACATTAAATTGTTCTTTTATCGATGCCAGCAGACAGATACCTGGGGCAAGTTCGTAGCTCTTTCCATAAAAGAGCGGCTTCCAAATCTAATGTTCTTTGGTCACATATTGGCTTATCTGCATGCAAAATTTCAGTACAGGCGTAACATATGCAGAACTATTGTGTTATTCATTATCCAGAAGCTAAATATGCTAAAGACTAAAAATCGTATGCGGTCTGGTAAGTACAGTACGTTGAATACCCAGTGTTTGGAGGAGAAAACAACCGTGTTTTATCACCGTAAAAGTAAACCACGCGTAGTGAGAAACGGTCTCCTTCAAAGTTTATTGCTAGCGGCTAAGACCAGATGCCAATTAGCTTGAAAACCGATTTTATGCCATTTTCAACGGTAGGAAGGCTGTGTGCACCGCAAACAGGCCTCGTTTATTCTTTCAAATTTTCTTTAAGAGCTTTAGTGTTTTGACGTGTGGACTATCTATGCTATGTTCAGGTGGCTCTTGAGGATTCTGCCAAAAGACGCGACGCGCGGAAAGATACGCTTGCTCTGGAAATGACCCAGCCACTTTTTCGCAACAGTCGGAGTGCTTCGGCCAGCCCGCGAAGGGTTGCATCCGATGACGTACGGACACCTCGATCACGTATGCTGCCGAAAGCGTAGCCCTCAAGAGCAGCGCATATTGTTGAATGTTTTAAAAATCTAATTTGAGAAAGGACACTGCTCGATAACAAAACTTCCCGGCTTTGACAACGCTTCCCCAAAGGTTCGGGCACAGACACGGGCGAAACCATTCAAATCGTAAGTTCCGAAATCAGTGCAATCGGCGAGCTACCCCCCCCCCTCCCCCCCCCCCCCCCCCCCCCCCCCAAAAAAAAAGAATAAGCAAAAAAAAAATTTCGATAGTTTAAATTGGTGAGGCAAGATGGCTGCGCACTGGTTCGCCATACTTGGCCCAGTCGGCCATCTTTCATCCTACGAAATCAGTGCAATCGGCAAGCTACCCCCCCCCCCCAAAAAAAAAAAAAAAAGAACAAGCAAAAAAAAAAATTTTCGATAGTTTAAATTGGTGAGGCAAGATGGCTGCGCACTGGTTCGCCATACTTGGCCCAGTCGGCCATCTTTCATCCATCCATCCATCCAACACAAGGCCGCGCGAGGAGGCGCAGCCAGCTGGCGGAGCTTGCAGAGCGAGCTGTCGACGAAACGTCGCAACATCTGTCGATGAAACGAGCGGGTGCTCGTTTCCACGAAACGATCTGTCGATGAAACATCGCAGTGTCGACGAAACGATTTGTCCATGAAACGTCGTTCGACGAACTGATTGCCACCGCAGCAAGACACCCTACACTTTCGGGACCTTCGGTGAGAACTATAATTCTGTAAAAATAGACGGCAAGGATCAGCTCTCCCCTTGCGCTTATGTTCGATGCGAGGCCAAAAATAATTAACCCTTGACCACTCGGTAACGTCGTTTTCATGAATGCGTAATAATATACCACAGAAAAACGCCCTCTAGATCTCTTTCCTCCAAGTTTCAGAATTTCAAAAGACGAGATCAGATCAGAGGTTCAGAAGTAAAAAGTATTAAAAAAAGTAATTTGGTACAAAACAAGGTACTAAATACGTTTCAAGTGACGATAAAAGTTCATTAAATGTAACAGTGACTTAAGTACATTTTTCAGATAACTTGCAAAATGGTTTCAACTTCTTTTGAAACCCTCGGCGCTGTCCAACACGTAAAGAAACATGCTGTTCACATTGAAATGTTGTGCCTTTCTAGATATGTTAATAATGTTGTAAAGAGCAAACATTGTCCATACTTGATGACTTTGCCTAAATATTTTCGTTTCTAAGCTAGAAAAAAAATCATTTCGCTGACTATCTGAGGCCTGTTTGAAGACAGAAAGTAAAATTTTCGACCTGGCTTAAGTCTTAGGTTTATTACGGTGCTTTCGTGAGCAAGAATGAACCATATGTGAAATTGCTTGAACGTCTGGCAAAACTGTGCGCTACCATTTTGTTAAGTCAAGATTCCTCTGCTGTTTGTAAATTTCTTAGCATTTTCGATAACAATCAAGGCCTATTGCTCACCTGAAACAATACTCACCCACACCTGCGAGCTAAGATTTAGTATTGTTTTAAGCCCTTCCTTGTGCATGTATGTACGTGCTCGTCGCCACGCCGGTCGACCGTTTCTCGCCGTAACCAGCATGGCGGGCCTACACTTCAGCTCAAAATTTGGGGTTGAGTGCCGGCAAAGGCGCGGGCGCCTGGTTTTCGAAACCGCTTTCTCTGTGCGTACTTGTGCGAGCGAAAGATTCTTCAGAGCTACGCCTTCGCGCCCTTGCCTTTGCCAGCGCCTAAGCCAACTTGTGAGACAGCATATTCTTCGGCGCCTCACTAGATGGCGCTGTCCATTTCGCATATCGTAAGAAGCAGATACGGTGTGTGTAGCTTGCGGAGAGAAGGAGGAGACGGCTGGGCACTTGATACTTAACTGTAAGGGGCTTCACCCTGTAGAAGGTGAAGAGGCGACTAATTTAGCAAACGCACTGGGATTTAGGGATGGTGCTGAGAAAATAGACATGAGGAAGCTGTAATAACCAAGGAGAGATCGTCTGACTGGTGGGGTAGGTCAAGCGAATAATGAATATTTTCTTATTCCCTTTATTCCGGACGAGATATAAGGTGGAAGGTGTGGCCACCCGGTTACATAGAGGCAGACTTAAAAGTAATTCGTTTCGAGTAGCGGGATTACTTGTAATTAATTACCTTCCGGAGGAGATATGAGGTCGAAGGTGTGGCCACCCGGTTACATAGAGGCAGACTTGGAAGTAATTCGTATCGAGTAGCGGGATTAGTTGTAATTAATTACTTTTCTTGTAATTTAGTAATTAATCCGTTACTTTTTTGAAAATGTAATTTGTAATGCAATGTCATTACTTTTGCAGTAACGAATTACTGAAATTACTTGTTTCAATTTTCCGTCCCATCAAAGAGAGAACGAGAGTGAATGAAGAGCGATTTAACGGTCATCGCGTTTTTAGCATGGTAACACAAGACGCTCGTGAGAGGGAGAAGACAAAAAATATACGCTGGTGAGGTGCTGGTGAGGGAAAGGGAAGGAACTCACGGAATGCACGACAGCCCAGCCAGAGCCCATTTCTCCTCTCGTTCGTGCGGTCAGCCAGGCTGGGAGGATTCGACTGCCTACATGAAGGCAACAGGCTTCGACTTCTTGGAAAACGAATGGACTGCTTCGAGCGTACAAAAGAGCAGAAAACTAATGAACCATAAAACCGCCGCGTGGGGTTCGTGTCGAGCAGGACCATTGACACAATGACCATGGTGCATATGTCCGCTCCCTCCCCCCCCCCCCTCTACCCTTCTTCCCCCCACCCCACCCCTCCGCGCCTTGTCCCCCCCCCCCCCCCCCCCCCACAATTAGTTTTTTCTTCTCACACGAAATTGTTCTTTCCCCGTCGATGTTTCTGCCAATACACACACCCACTTCGCAAATACAGAAAATGCTCTAATGAGACCTCGTCCATGCTCATCATTGACAGCGCTGTGAAAGATACTGGCTGGACCAACCAGCTATGTGGCTTCTGTCACTTTGCACTAGCGGATGCGTAAAGCAGAAACACGAGGGGGGCGATGGGAGCAGTTCATTCGAACAAAAAATGTAGCATCAAGCCTGCTGTCAGTTTAAACAGCAGGCAACAAGCTGGCCGGGGAGCACAGCCAAAACGGCTTGGGACTTCGAGGCTGAACCCATATTCTTAGAAACGAGAATGCTGGCGTTCTCGTTAGCGGATTGCGCCTGCGGGAACTTAGACCGAAATTTTAGGGAAAGAAAACAGAGCCCGAGGTTTCTGGGAAGAAACAGTGACGAGTTGAGAAGCCGCCTGTAAACGCGCGAAACACATGGAAGCGTGCTGTTCACTGAAAATTGTTTTTTTTTTTTTAATAATTTCTAAACAGAAAAATTAGTTCAGTTGAGATATTGCGCATTAATATTTTGTGTGATGTCTTGGTTCTGATACGTTTGGTGATAAAGAAAGAAGATGAAGTGGGTCATTCGGTCGGATAACAACCTTCATCAAGCGGGAATCTTTGATATGAACTGATACGCAAGTACCGCATCTTGGTCTCACAGCCAGTCAGTTTCAGTAGGTAAACTAGCCCCTATTTAGGCAACATTCAGCAAGCACAGAAAAACCACGTCTTAAAGAGAATCGTGTTTTGAAGATCGCCGACGCCAAAACTCGGATTACTTCGAATGGTGCGGGTGCCTCCACAGCCCAAGAGCATCGTCGCATGTTCATGGGATTTAGTTCTGTCCCGGCCGGTTGGACAGCGCAAGACTCGTTTATCTTGAGCCCCTGCTTAAGTCCTTTAAAACTTTATAGATTCGTTCTCCTGAACGTTTTACCCTAAAATATTGGGCAGAAAGTAATGAATGTGTTTATTTTTGTTTTAATTTTGATTGGGCCCATACGTTTCTATATCAAACACGCAGTACATAGTGTGTTTTTTCGTACTTCTTTGAAGTAACGCAAAAGTAATCGAGAAAACGAAGTAATTAATCGATTACTTTTCACGGGGAGTAATTTGTAACGGTAATTCATTACTTTTTAGGCCAAGTAATTGTTACTGTAATTATTTTTTTAAGTAACGAGCGCAACTCTGCATAGAGGCTCCTGCATTGTACGGGTCGTATAGAGGTTTTAAGAATAGATCTCTGGATGTGCAACTCCGCGTTAAATAAATGTCAAGGAAAATACAAAGCATTGGCTGAGTAGCGCAAGTCGCCGCCTGATTCAAAGAGTTTAGCCGCATCCATCCATCCATCCATTCATTCATCCATTATCTATTGATATGTTATTTAATGACGGGATTAATGTGAACTGACCACTGAGGAAGGTAGGATACATATAGTCACTCATATCTTAAACCACGCAGGGTTTGAGCAGTCCAGAGTATCTTATTATCGCTCCCGCCTATGAGATTTCAACATTAGCTGATAAGAACGACAAAAAAAAAAAAACACGAAGTAGAAAGTGTACGAGACAACAGAAAACGATAAGGCAGAGACGTTGGTAATAATAAATAAAGTAGGTAACATCTACTTTATTTATGCATGCGAGTCAAACGCCGGACGCCGGAGTTCCGCGTTCTAACGCGTTAGACGAGTGCAGTATAGAGACAGCTAGCTTTAGGTCTGCCCACTATTCATTTCAACCACAGCTCGGCTTATCGACGTCCCCGCGCGCTGTCGCCTCCTACTCTCCCTCAGTTTTTAGGTGCATACAAATTGACATGCCCTTCTAAAAGACTGTTCCATCGTACACTTAGGGAAAAAACGCTAAACAAAAGTGAGCGCGACAATGATATGGAACCAGCACCCTCTCATGCAAACTTCGCGTCGCTGACACCCCTCGTGGTGCTAAATGTAGTGTTGTTTGTTACCGGTAAGGTGTCGCTCTTAAAGGGAAACTCCGCTTCATTTTTGATACTTAGAAAACTATGCAGCCCTCTTCAGTATCATATAGGAAGACTAAATGTCAAATTTTACGATCTAACTCCGTCTATATATTTCTTAAACTGGCCAGCAAACTTTCAAATAAGCCAAGTCGCCGAAATCTGCCAACTCTAGCTTGCGACGTGTGGCGCAATCATCAGCGCAGTCAATGCCACAGAGTTGGAGCAGCCAACATTGAGGCGCTACGTCAGAAGCATGACTACGTCATTCTCACGTTTTGTTTGTTTTCACTTCTCGGAGCAAAATTGAACGATGACGTCATGAGTTTCTCCTCTCGGTGTTGGCTGAACGGCGTCCACGTGATCGCCGTAACACGGATGCGCTGGTTTGCGCTGCCCTGCGTGCTTATCGGAGCTCAGAGCTGGGAGCAGTCTGTTGGTCTGTTTCGTCTCGCCGCTGCTCTAACTTGAGAAGGACCATAGTTTTGTTTAACCCGAGACTGGGGTATTTCGGAAAAGGGACGAGAAGAAAAGAGGCCACAAGAAGGCGACGTCTCAAGACGTCGCCTCCTTGTGGCCTCTTTTCTTCTCGTCGCTTTTCCGAAATACCCCAGTCTCGGGTTAAACAAAACTATGGTTAACTTCCACCAGCTCGCCTGCACCCTTACAATTTTTTCATTGAGAAGGACGTTTTGTTTACGATACAAGCGCGGGCCGCATCTCCAATACCTAGCTGCGATGAATGCCGAAAGATCCATAGGCTCACGATGTTGTGTCGCTGCCTCCTAGAATTATTAGTTGACCCGCCCGGGTGTTGTCTTTCACAAGTTTCCACACGCTGTTGTAGCAGACTACATTGGCAAACACCGCGGAGCAGACGACACTTCCGCTTTGCTCTACGTTCGCATAGAGGATCGCGTGACCTTTGAGACTGTGACGGCCCCCGTAGGGAAGGCACAGACGCGCTGTGGTGGGCCCACGCTGAGGTGAGGAGAGATGAGGCGAAAACGATATTTACTTTTTAATAATAATAGGAGTCGGTGCTGGTGCTGCCCGCAGCTTACCGACCGTCGCGGCGTTCTGAAGGGGTGGTGACCCAGGCTGTCCATCACTGTGCCGGTGCCTGGGCGAGTTGGCTCCGGGGCTCACAGGGTTCAGGAGCTTGGAGGAACGCTAGTGGGTGGCCTAGTGATTGAGGCGATACGGGCTTCTCAGGGCTCGAAAAGTTCGGGGGCTTGGGGCGCTGACGCCAGCGGGTGGCCATGTTGTTTCTCTGGTCGGGCTCACAGGGTTCTGGGGCTTGGAGCGCTGACGCTAGCGAATGGTCTTGCGGTCGAGGCGATTTTGGCTTCTCAAGGCTCGGGGGCCTGGGGCGCTGACATCAGCGGGTGGCTTTTTCGTTGTGTTTTTCTGGTGCGTTGTTTCCCGCGCTCTCTCCAGCGCGCTCCCTGGCACTTTTCTCGGCGCGTCTTCCCGCTCGGACTCGCTTCCCCCGACCAGCCCCGACTCCCAACTTGTTCCCCATGTCCGGTTTCTCCGCTCCCCTTGTCTTCTCTCGTCTTCTTCCCGTCCCCCTCTCCCCCAGTGTGATCATCGTTCACGCCATCCGAAGCAACCTGCCCGCGTCACGTGTCGTGTACCTCGCCGCCACGAACGTCACAAGACCACGTGGTTCGACGTGACGTGGCCATGCTTCTGACGACACGAGACCAATGTTGCCTGACACAACCAAAGTTCCGGTTTCGGTATCTGCCGAATTTTCGTGTTTTTTTTTTTCTGCTTCGTGAATCATTTTTTTTTCTGCTTCGTGAATCCGAAGACGTCGAGCTGTTTAGTGGTGTTTTGTGAAATGGAATCTCATGTAAGCCCAAATAGTTCGGAATTGAGCAGAGTTGCCCTTTAACAGGACTAACATGATTCTAGCACACTATCATAGAGGGCGCCACCTCACTGTTACGTTTTGTATATATGTCGTGAATAAAGACTGCCGCGGGACTTTGCCCATCCGGCCCAGCTGACCCTGTCTGGTCCCGGTCTCTAGACTAAATACCTTGTAGAATCAATGCTAAGATTGATGTTCTGTAATGAGTATATAGTACATAGAAGCTGAAGACGTACTTTACCGTATAGAGTGGCTTAACAGAGTCGTGCTCTTTTGCATTTCTTGCGTATGAATCGCAGTGATATTTCCTGCGTCCTCAATTTTTCAATACACACTGTCGTATCAGAGTCCCATACCGGGGAGACATATTCAAAAACAAAATCAACCAAGGTTTTGTAAGCACTGATTTGATATCAAAGAAGGAGTGCAGCTTAAGATTGCGCATCAAATATCATAGTTTACCGTGGCCTTAAGCCGGGGCCTACTGCTCACACATCATACAAAAGACAGTCTGCAAACACGAGTGACCGCAATATCCGTGATTCGAACTCCGCACGTCAAATGTTCTTCTTGAACTCATTATCATGCGGTATTCGAAGCTCGGATCTCGCGATTACTAGAGTTTGAATCTCTATGCAGACTGTTTCTTGTGTGATGTATAAGCAGCGTTACCCCGACTCCAGTGAAAAATAAAGTCGATGTCTGCATTCGACTACAAATACGTCGAAAAATGTACCCCAACAACTTTTCCGCATTAAAACAATTTTTTTAATTAAAATGAAAAGGTCGCATAGCTTACACGTCAAATATACAGAAACGAACTCACACTCACCTTGCATGATACAATGAAGGGAAGATAAAATAGGCGAGCAGCGCATAAATCGACTCGCCCTTCGTGTAGAGAGTCTTCAAGGCACTTGCTTGGGAGTGTCCAGTTATTGTGCATTATCGGTGTTGGCGTATCATTCCAGCAGTTATGCCTAGAGTTACTGAAATAAATACCATCACAAAAACATGGAATACTTCAAAGATATTCTTCTCCCCTCGGTAATGTCATTTTATATATTAATCTACTCGTTGCAGTGTTTACGGAAGAAAAACATCCATTGCCAGCGTTCAGAGACCGTCTATTTCAGTGTCACAGCAATATTTCGAAAATACTGCCACTCAAAGCAGCTATGTAAATCAATGGTATAACACCGTCACCCTTTTCTAGGGAATTAAATCAAAGATAAGATCGTTATCGAGCACTTATCTGCCCATTTCTTGAAATGTATGTACCTCTGATATTGTTTCTGCTTAAATTAATATATTTTCCGATAAATTGCGAACTATTGATTTTATTTTGATCAGTTGTAATCATATTGTATATTGAATAGTGGCCCTCATATTGCCGCTTTTTAGAGCGCAGCTCTTAGGGGCCCGTTCCCGGCTTGAGCGGCGTCGCCGTCGCCGTCGGCGTAACCAAGGTCATCCCAAGGTCACGTGACCCCCAAGGTCACGTGACCCCAAGGTCACGTCACCCCTCCCAAGGTCATCTCAAGGTCACGTGACCCCACGTGACTCCCAAGGTCACGTGACCCCTCGAGATCACGTGACCCCTCCCAAGGTCATCTCAAGGTCACGTGACCCCAAGACCCCACGTGACCCTTTGAAGGTCACGTGACCCCCAAGTCACGTGACCCCTCTGAGGTCACGTGACCCCCGAGGTCACGTGGTCTCCTCCCCAAGGTCACCTCAAGGTCACGTGACCCCAAGGTGATCCCCACGTGACCCCCAGGTCACGTGACCCCTCTGAGGTCACGTGACCCCTCTGAGGTCACGTGACCCCCCGAGGTCACGTGACCCCCCCTCCCCGAAGTCACGTGACACCCCCCCCCCGAGGTCACGTGACCGCCCCCCCCGGAGCATATTAAAGAATGAGGGGAGGAGGAGGGGTCTACCCTCCCCTCAGTACCCTTCACTCCTCCTCCTCAAGAGCTGCGCTCCAATTCGGCGTTACAGGGATTTGTAAACGGCTTTCAATTTTTTTTAAAACTTGTTTCTGTTTTGTAATTATTGTAATTGTCTGGCGTCTGCAATAATCTCAAGGCCGAACCTGAATTTTTGTCAAGCTGTTTATGCGGACAGAAGCAGAGGGAGAGGAGGGGAAATGAGCGTGAGAGAAAGCCAGAACACCGAGCTCTGGTTGGGATGGCTAGTGGATAAACACAAAGCTAGCTGCCTTTGTCTCCACTGCAGTGTTCGAACGTGTTTCAACGCGAAAGCCCAAAGCTGGACGCCAAAGTTCCGGGTTCTAACGCGTTCCACGAACGCAACGGCGACCAAGGAAACGTTTGTCTCCTCTGCACAGTTCAAACGCGTTCGATAGCGAACGCCAAACGGCGGAGGCCGGCGTTTCACGTCCTAACGCGTTCCACCAGTGCAGCGAGAGTCAAACGCAGCTAGATTGACGTCTATTCACTAATCCTTCTATCCCGAGCCCGGTGTTCTGAGCTCCTCGAGCGCTCTCATCTCCTCTTCTCTCTCTCAGTTTCTGCCCGAATAGGTTAGCTTACTCTGCGCGCTCACCTCTTTAATATTATTAACCTAGCAGGCGTACAATTCGCAATCACAACTAAACTAAGTAAGGTTTCATCGATCTGACGGATGCCCTGAAATAAATATCGAGCATAAGATGGTCCTTCGACATGATCACTTCGACTCTCATATAGCTACTGAGAGCTGAGGATACGCGGGACGTGGCTTATAATCGTGAAGGCAGGAAACGTCCGTACGCGACATGACACCACCATAGATGAAGCCGGTTGAGACTTCGGGTTTGGAGGCCCCCAACGATGACCGAAACCAAGAGACGCAATTGGACGGACTTGGGCACACTTGGGGGCGTTCCCACCGAAGAACGACCTCTACTTCCGGCTTCACTTATGATTTTCTTTTAGAGCGCAGCTCTTAGGGGCCCGTTCCCGGCTTGAGCGGCGTCGGCGTCGGCGTCGCCGTCGGCGTAACCAAGGTCACCCCAAGGTCACGCGACCCCCAAGGTCACCCCAAGGTCACGCTACCCCAAGAGGTCACGTGACCCCTCCCCCAAGATCACGTGACACCCAAAGTCACGTGACCCACGAGGTCACGTGACCCCCCCCCCCCCCCCCCGAGGTCACGTGACCACCCCCAGGGTCACGTGACCCCCCCCCCGAGGTCATGTGACCTCCCCGATGACGTCATCGTCACTGATGACGTCACCGGCATCCGCATCGTCATCGTCATCATCACTGATGACGTCATCAGTGACGTCATTGATGACGTCACCGGCATCCGCATCGTCATCGTCATCATCGCTGATGACGTCATCGGAGTCCGCATTGTCATCGTCCCTGATGACGATGACGTCATCGGCATCGTCACGTGACCCCCCCCGGTCACGTGACCCCCCCAGGTCATTTCACCCGCCCCCCCAGTACCCTTCCCTCCTCCTCCTCAAGAGCTGCGCTCTAATTCGGTATTACAGGGAGTTGTAAACGGCTTTCACTTTTTTTAGCTGACTTCAGCCGGTATGCCGCCTCCTCTTATTCCTACCTCCATGTTTATAATAATCCAATTTTAATGCGGAAGCATTAGCTGTCCTAAGAGCGAAGCCGGTGTTGTCTCTAGACGTCGTCTGTGCAACAAAAAACGGTACCTAAATTCCCATTGGATGAGCGAAACGGCACCTAAATTCCCATTGGCTGAGCGACACGACAGCTATGCAGGTGCTTCGTCATGGAAGGCGGCGGGGGCACTCAAGATCAAAGCGGACGCGCCTCAGCAATAAAACACAAAGAAAAGCACAGCAACGCAGATGCTTCGTCACGGAAGCCGGCGGGGTTCGCCACGCCTGCGCAGTGGGGGGCGCGATGTCACCGCCAGAGGGCTGTGTAAAAAGGGAGACGCGGCTCGCTGCCTGTAGGAATGATTTCGCATTCCTACACGTAAGCAATCCTAAATGTCTCTGCCGAATTTTCGTGTTTTTTTTTTCTGCTTCGTGATTCATTTTTTGACATTCTTATGGCAATTTTATTGGTCCTGGAAGCTTACGCCAACAAAAATCCCCCATCAAAGAGATTCTGGAAGCTTACGCCATCAAAAAAGAAGAAAAGGAGCGATGTGTCAGCCAAACATCGCTCCATTTACATTGGAAGGAAATTGCCTTCCTTGGCACGTGTTGATTGACAGAGAGCGTGTGGTGTGTTTTTGTTTTTGCTACTGTTATTGTTGTGTATTCTTTTCATCAAATGTTTCAGTTGAGAGTTAGCGCTTGTCCCGTGTTCTTCCTTTACAACATATTTTTGTCTTTTGAGCGCTGTATTACAATTTTTGAAGGGAATTCTTATAAGAGATTTGTGCAAATCAGCAAATTTTAGAATCCGAATGCTAGTGCTGCATCAGAGGCGCTCAGATTGACGACGAACGATTTCAGTAAGTTGATGCGTCATTCCGATCTAGATGCATCACACTCCTATCTATCGAATATTTTCGATAGATGGCGCCACGAATATGAATAAGGTGTATTGAATTCATGACAATACATGATAAATCGACGGTGCTTCCAGTCAGCACAGTTCAATTGTTTGGGATCAACTGGTTTCCGTCCCCCGAGAAGACGTAAGCCGCGGATGTTCCGGGCGAAGACATGTGGCTTCGAGCCTGGTCGCTCCATATCATGTCGGGGAGAGTACGCCACCTTGTTGGCCTACCCTCTAGCCCTCCACCGCGCGTCTCCCGTTTTCGTGGAACCCGCAAGATTGCTCTAAACCGTCGGGCCTGCCCTCCTCTGCGAGAACAGCCGTTTGGTCAAGGAGTCCTGGATTGAACTCCGGGCAACGAATCGAGTCGCGATGTGAGCTCGTCCGACCGGCGATGACTCAACGCGAGCGGTTCCCCTGGTTCTGACAGTCGGCGTCTTCTCCTCCTAGTGGGCGTCCGTCTGCCGAGAGCCTTCGCCCGAACTCCTGCAACGACAGGTAGCGCCGTGAGCTCGGCCCACAGGCGGTGACTCCGCTCGCAATTACCCCTTTTGCTCTCAGGTCGGCGGGCGCTGCGGCCACACTGAGTCCATGGCTCGCCTGACCGTAGTGTGTCGTTGGGGACCCTTGGTTCTCAACAAAAGCTGTTAGATACCGGGATCATTGTCGTTGTTGGCATGGCATTGGACGAACCCGGCGCGGCGACCGCCCTTTCTGGTAGCCGTCGACGGCGCGGTGGGATGGGCATCGGATTCCCCTTTGAGCACCGGTCCCCAGACGTAAAAGTACGCATTCTTGCTTCCCAGAATTGTGGCACAAAAATATAGCAATACCTAAGTTTTCGTTTTTAAGAACCAAAGTTTCGCAATTACTTTCTGCACACTCCATGCTACATGACTATTCCAGCTGAGTTCTGACGTGATTATAACACAGAGGTATTTGTATTCATTTATAGTTACTAAGGTAGCATTGTTGAGGGCGTATCTAAAATCAAGGGGAGTTTTACTGTGTGTGTGGCTCACATTTATACACACTTATGATTGTTTAGTGACATTTGCCAATTCGTACACTATTGCGTTATACTGCTTAACCAATTACCTTTAACTGATCGCTTCTCAAACCTATTTCTGAAAGCAACACGTAGCCGTACGCTTAAAACCGACATTGTATGCTATTATCTTCAGTAAGATCGTTTATATTAACTAAAAAATGCCAAGGCCTGAGCACAGATCCCTGGGATACTCCAGAAGTTACCAGGACAGTAGGGGAAATTACACCGCCGATTAAGTATGAGTCCAACCACCGCAGGAGTCTCTCATTTCTGAGCAGAATTTTAAGTTTTTTCAACAACTTATGATGTTGTACTCGATCGAAGGTTTTTGCCAAATCTAAAAGGATAACACCCATCTGGCCCCCCTTGTCGAAAACATTGTCAACCTGAAGAAAGTTTCAAATGCCTTCGTCTACGGCTGTGTTATAACCTTTTCATTTCTTTACCGTATCATATGGTCGATTGGGAACAAAGCCAGGACAGTCTAACGCGATGATGCGGTGATCTGATATTCCACCTACAACTGCACAGTGATAGTCTTCAACACAAATATTATTATAAACAAATTATAAATCAAGGAGGGAAGTGGTCGTTTTTGTAACTCTTGTGAGAGTCGTCACAATCCAGATAGGATTGTTCCAAAAAGCCAAATCTATCAAAAGTTCGAAATAACAACATCGTGACATCGAGGTCATTGTAGCCCAGTCTACGTTTCGAAGATTAAGGTCACCTCCTAAAAGTATATTTTTATTGTATATTGGCATGTACATGCACAAAATCGTGTAAGTCGTTCAGTACATCATAGAGGAGGTTATAAAAGATAATATCACTCACACTGCTTGAGTGCCTGTGGTATTACGCAGAAAAGAAAATTCAATTCCTGATTTTATAACTATCATTTTGTGCGTTGGGGGGAACGGTTTCACAATCAGGAATACTATCACTTAACCAATTTTCGGTTATCAACAATGTCTCTCGATTGAAGGAAAGGAGAATGCTTTCCAGGTCGATCGTTTTGTTTACTATGCTCTTTGCATTCAGGTTGATGTTAATTACTCGAAGTTTCGTGTTAGCTGTACATTTTACGACGTTTACGATACTTATCGCACTTAAGCTGGCAAATCTAAAGGTCTTGCATGTCGGTATACCTCGGACGAGGCTTCAGCACCAGCAGCATTGCCCCGTCCTGAGGGGACCAAAATGGGGTCTTACTTGGTTTCTTTCCGGCCAATGGTCAGCTTCACACAACTTTTCGAGTTCTGAACCTTCGACATACACATGAAACGAAAAGTAGGTATCATACTTAATTGGCAATTTTGTGCAAACAAACATTTTGTCACCGAGCACTTGGAGAACAAGAGCCAACACATCGTCTGAGGATGTGAACGGGTGCATGCGCGACACGAATATTGCCTTGCGGACGCACAGGAGGCCGGGGTGCGGCACGCAACTTACTGCTGCGGTCAGAACCGATTAACGGCTGCGGTCGTTGCCTTGGGTGCGCTGGCCTGTCTTTGTTGACATCATGCGATTTAAGACTTCCACTTAGCTGCCCTGTCGTCACTCCTTAGTTGGAGGGGCTCCAGCTGCTCGAGCAGTTGCACCAGGCCGGCGAAACGTATTGCTGGTCGGAGACAAGGAGTCTCCGGCCATCGGCGCGTCGGTAGAAAAGCATTTCTAAAGAAGCTCACTGTTTCGTACCAGTTCAACTCGCAGAGACTCGTTTTCACGTCTCAGGAACCGTACTTCTTCAGAGAGTCCGACGATTTCACGGCAAAGCGCCAGCAGCGTCTCGCGAACACTGCACTCCTCCGACAGCACGTCTTCCCGTGGACCGCCGGCTTTCCTACCCGACGTAGAAGCCCGAGAGCTCACAAGTGTATCTTCCGAGTTCCGGTATTTTTGTGGACATGGCGCACTCAAACGTGCCACCACCATGTTTTGCGAGCAGGTCGAAGCTCGAATGTGGAATGTTGACGCATTTCAAATGGAAGCTTTCGTCGCACGTGCACTAGCAAACGATAAACCGCGTCCGAGATAATGGAGCGGCACAAAAAATTGTTTTGATCCAATATTTGAGTTGCTAGTTCAGCAGTGTGTTCTGCTACAGCGTAACGTATATTTAACGAATATTAACGAATATGCTACACGTAACGAAGCCGAAACCGAAATTCGACAGGGGGGAGAAAGAATAATATAAAGGAGGAGATTGTTGGCCGAAGTCACGTGGCCGTGAAACTTTTCTTTTAATCAACGTATTTACAGCATTTTAGAAGCCACAAACAAATAGTACCATAGTCCTTTTCTATTTTTAATATTGAGTGTGTGCCTTCGATGATTCACGACTTTGATTATATTTGTGTCTAAACCATAGAAAACTGCACGTGACCATTGAGAAGAGAGTGAGCGCGACCCGAACCGGCGAGTTCTCAATCGGCGGTTTTAGGGCGGAAATAAAATTAATTTCGGGCCTCAAATTATATTCTGGGCAGTTGGGCTCTCGTATGTTTTGTACGAATAAAAACCTTGGCGGGCATAAATACCCTGCCATTGTCCCTTTGAGCGCACGACTCGCGGTCACGGTATCACCCGATTGAGCGTTAAAAAGCAGGCTTCAAAGGTTCTGGTTTTTCTTATTAGAGAAACACTAATAGAAAATGACCCTCTCTCATTATTATTAAAAAAAAACATAAAATATTGCTGTTTTTATTGGTCACGGATCTACAAAACTGAAAAATAACTTACTTGAGAAAAAACCTTCGAACAGCTACCTTAGCGCACGTAGAAAGGCGAAAGCTTGTAGAGTCGTCAAGCGGGCCTGTCAAAAATCCGTCCTTTATTGCGCATCCCTTGTAGCTTCCGTTATCCCTGGTAGCCCCGATTCTGCATGAAAGGGTCAATAAATGAAAGGAGAGTTAGTGTGGTCCCGCAGAGACCCCTTTTTGTGTCCGCTTCTATGCGTAGCTCTCCGTCTGTTACTAAAGAAAGATGGAACTATCAGGAAAACAGTCACGAACGCTTTTAAGGAAAAACACAACATATACAATGTTTTATTTATAAGTCCCTGAAAGGCTAGAGCGCACACACAAACAAGCAAATATACTGAAAGTCAAAGTCCCAGCGCTTTCAATGTGCTTGGCTGTCCTCGTTGATGACAGCACATGAGCAGAAAGATTTGGAACGTCGCGGCGGTCTTGCTTTTTTAGAGCGACTTGAATGGCACTACCGGCACTTAGCGTCGGCTGCGCTCGAGATTGAGGTGAAACGAAGTATATTGTATACGTTTTATTTTGGCTTGATCATATCAGTAAAATTTTGTGGTTGGTGGTCAAGTTTATTTCGGTTGCCCATTCACGCTCGTGACTTGTAGCGAATACAAATGAGGAGGTTTTAGGAAGTTAATGTTTGCACGAGGAACGCGACTTTGTTGCGGATACTTGTGATGAAGAAATATATACGAGCTGGGAGGATGTCTCCCATGCGGAATCTGGATGAAAGTAAACATTTTGGTGGACATCCACTAAGTTAGCAATTACTTAAATGTAAAAAAGTAAGGCTTTGACCAATATTAATAGAGATTCCGACGATTTGAGCCCAGCTTGGACCCTTGATCACGGTTGAGTGTTTTGGCTTTTTCGTCGCTATGATAGTACCCGGTGTTGTCTTTTAAAACGGCCGTTGTTTCTTTGCGCTTGTTGCTGATGGCGTGTCGCTCGACGCAACCCACATGAGTCATCGTAAACCAGGTACGTAGGCGCTTTGGAAGTAAGTTTCCCAGCTGACCGGTTGTTGTCGTTTTTTTGTGTCTTTAGAACACATCGTTCGCCTTGTCAAACGATTTGTTCACCTCACCAGCTCTGTCCCAACCGTCAAAGTACACTTCACTTTTAAAAACAAATCTAGGAACGAACTACAGGTGATTCCTAAGAGCCTACGCCTGAAACGGGTAACCCACACCGGCAAGGGTCGCAGGATCATGGAACAAGCCGAGCGTCCTCTTCTTGACGCAGTAATTAAAAATGCTGAGAAACGGCAAAGAGGAAACACTTGGGCCTTTTCTTCTTGAGCAGACAACTGGAACACTGCGCACCTGAAGTTTTTCCTGCCGTCAACAAGTTTGCTAAATGTACTGCCATCTCATCTTCTGAAAGAAGGGAATCCGGCCACCAGATGGAAGCTCTCTCCCCTTCTTGCGCGTTTAAACAATTCTGAGGAATCCGACATAGGGTCTGTAAAAAATCTTTCCTCAAGAACACTTTCCGCAAGAGAAACTCGGGTCTTGGCGAAGGGAAAGAAGTCTAACCTCACTACCACAAAGCCACTTATTGCTTCAATGGCAACAGTTGTTGAATGTGGCCTGAGTGATGTGGACCCCTGCATTCGTGAAGAATCACGCCTGTAGGCTATCGGTGTACTTTCCAAGGCACACCGACGAGCACACCTAAACTACACGGCGGAAGAGAAAGCAGCCATCAAGAACCTGAAGAAAGACAATAATATTATCATCCTGCTTGCCGACAAGGGGAATGCGAACGTGATGATGAACCGCACTGACTACGACGACAAAGCCCACAAACTCCTTGCGACAAGCGCGTACGTGACTCTGCCGAAAGACCCGACTACCAAGATCCAAGCAACTTTAAACAAGACAATATCTTTGATTTTCGGTCAACGTCCGAAGTCTTGATGCTTTTACCTCAGTCTCATCTGACGGAACGGGACTACACGTGCGTTCTACGGCTTCCCAAAAATGCCCAAGCCAAGCGTTCCACTTCGCTCAATAGTGGACTTTACTGCATCACCGCTACGCGCATTATCGAAGTACCATCACCGGTTGCTGTCAAAACTCACGGGGAAGACAAACACGTATGTGAAAAACTCCGGCTATTTTATCTAGCTGACCTCCGGTCTCCAAATGTACGATGACCGAAGTCTCGTCTTCTTCGACGTCGTTTCACTCTTTACAAGCGGGCCCGTACCTCTTGCGCTGCTTGTAGTGATGACGGCACTATCGTCTCCAACGAAGCTCTCCAAGAAAACGTGCCTTACTGTGTATGAGATTTGCCCCTTCTAAACCTCTGCCTAACCAGCACCTTTTTTTTTTTTCTTTTTTCACGTTACGTCAATTTACGGAAAAAATTGTCGCCGATACGTTTACCGTGTCACAACCTACACGCAAACACACCGGGATTCGCTGCAAAACCAAACACCGTTAGCAAAACAAATTATACTGCATATAATATTCTTTATGTAAAAATATAACGAAGCCCAATATAGGCACATAGAGCAATGACTGGGATATGATTTCCGCTACCATAGTTTGTTTCGCCATAGATCGCAGCGTAGTGGAAGGCTAGAAGACATAAAACACGGATATACACAGCATGGAAGCTAACGCTTTTGAAGGGGTACTCCGGCACTTTCTTTATAGTCCATGATTTGCCTGAAATTTCGCTAAACATACAAATATTCATTTGTGGATTAGCAACTCAAATATCGGTTAAAAAATACTTTTTTTCGCGAAGTTCGTGAATTTACAATAGTGGTCCTCACCGTGTTTTTTTGCAGTGAAAGTCTCTACTGGGGCAACAATAAAGAAGTGACGTCAGAGGAGGCGGGGGTTCACTCTTTGAGCTGTAGATTTTGTTCCCAACTGATTGCAAGCAGTTGCATGGCGTCGAATGAATGCTTTGGAAGTTCGCTTAAGCACCCTCGCAGCAGCACGGAACAGATGCTCGGCAAAGTCCATTTTTAGACTTCCCGCTCGACCTGCAAGCCTGACTTCTCCTGACGTCACTACACCGAAAAGAGCGGGTGGATTTGAATATTGGTTTTGGTAACATAATAACTTCTCCATTTTACAATAACTATTCTGAATTTCGCGATACTCAATAACATACTGGAAAGGGTAAAGGCCGGTAATTCCCAAATTATAGTTAGTTGGGGTAACCTAAAAGATCCCCGGACTGCCCCTTTAAAGGCAACTCCGCTCAATTCCAAAGATTCCGGGATAATGAGTGATTTCGCGTGAAAGAGCCCTAATAGAAGACACTACGTCATTTGCTTCGCAAAAAAATGGGGTACATATTTTTAAACATAATTCTAACGGGAGCAGAAATCGAAACCGAAACTGCGGCTCCGTCCGGCGACATTGGCCTCGGGCCACCAAAAACATGGCTACCAAGTGGTACGAGATGTCACGTGATCATCTGCGCAACGACGGGTGAAATCGGGGTGGGCGTGTGATAGGAGGAAGTGTCGTCTGCCCCGCAGTCTTCACCACGTTTTGGTGTCTACGACATTCGACGACGTCTGCTTAACTGCGGCATAAGTCTGCCTACGTAGCGCCCGTAGTGTGGGCGAAACTCCGAGAGACAATAATCACAAACGGTGAGACGACGACGGCAGTTGCGACGTGGGAGACGGCGGTGGGACCACGGCGGGGCGGCCAGACGGCTCCCAAGAAACGCGTTGCGCAGGCGCGTTACGCCAATCACGTAGGCACCGCTGAGCGCAGAAAGGAAACGGTGCTCACGTCACCCGTTACGCTTTCCCGGAGAAGAAAAAACAAGCAAAAGGGGGCAATGGTGAATGCGTTTAGATCAATGTTCGCTACGCCCACGCCGTAGACTTGAATGCACTGTTGGTTGCGCCTCAATTCGCCCTCTTGAGTCAGCCGATTTCTGCTACTTGGCGATTTGAAAAGTTTGCCGGACCGCTTAGGAAACATTTAGGTAGAACTAGGTCGTAATACTTGACGTGTGGTCTTCCTAGGTCACACCAAAAAAAACTAATTTTTTTTTTTTTAAATGAATACGAGTTGTCATTTAAGGCAGTTTGGACGGCTCGCAAAAAACAGCTGCTCAACGTATACGTGTTGCGCTGTGATGTTCTACAAAGGTGCTAACAGCCGGTGGAAGTTTACAGAAAAACAAAATCAGGAAATGAACTTACCTCGGCCAGAAGAAAAAAACACAAATACCTGTTCTAGGCAATCTGCACCGCCACTTTGCAGACGATGCTCGCGTAGTGAGAAGTGCTGCCGACAGATGGCGTACGCCCCGTCGAGGAAGCAGAGTCATAGATAGTGGATGAGTTTAGGCCATTTATTACCCTCAGTGACCTCTCTCTGCATCAGGGTGTAAGATAGACTGGTGGGGAAACGAGAGCCAATTGAGTGACCGGATTGTGTACCCGTCGGGTTTCTCTTTTAGAGCGCAGCTCTTAGGCACCCGTTTCCGGCTTGAGCGGCGTCGCCATCGCCATCGGCGTCGCCAAGGTCACCCCAAGGTCACGTGACCCCCAAGGTCACCCCAAGGTCACGTGACCCCCAAGGTGACCCCCCAAGGTCACGCGGCCCCCCCCCCCCCTCCTCGAGGTCACGTGACCCCCCTACAGGGAGTTGTAAACGGCTTTCACTTTTTCTGTGGCGCCATCTATGTGGAGCACCGCGAACTCTCACTCCGGGTGGGCGACCGGTGGCGACCGGCTAAACTGACGGAGATGGTTTCTCGTGGATTTTCAATAGAGGACTGTTGTGCACGCGGTTTATTTTGCGCACTCTCCCATAGAATTCCACGCAAATCCAATTCCGACTTTTTTTCCTCGCGCCGCAGCGCCATCTCTCGCAAATCGGGGGTACCCGCAAGCAGACGAGTACACAATCCGGTCACGGCGCTGCGGTAGGCTTCTATGGGCCGTTTCCCCACCTGTCTATCTTACACCCTGCTCTGCATCTTGATTCCTCCCACAAAAGTGACGTTGCGTCTAGCAACCACCTAGCAACGGGGGACGTCGTGCGAACGACGAGCGCCTGTCCACCATTACCGATCCCACTCTCCACGCGCGCGCATGCAGGGCCCCATGTTATTCCGTGTACCTACCTCAGTTCCTTAGGTTTTCTGGTTAGAAAATTCTCGGATGTTGTGCCGTTAGCTGCTCAAACCATAGCCATCCATATTTTCGTTTCTGTGTGACCGCCAAAGAAGAAGAAAACGTCAAAATATATAGGTCATTAGAATCAAGTTGAAACCCATAGCAGGCTTCCAACTTTGAGAGGAAGGAATTCTTGTTTCTAATTAAAAGTTTTACTTAGACAATAAAGCTGTCCTCAAAGCCGGAATCATACGGATACGGGTTTCTGAATCGATCCGTTTCGAAAGTCTTGCGCCGATTATTCGAAGGCCGGAGGCCCTGCACAATAAATGGTGCAACAACTGCATCGAGGGACGTGCAAGTCCTCGAATTCCAAAAGATTGCAAACGTCGAAGCGCGGCAAACACTACGAGCCGACGAGATAATTAAACAGCGTCACTGCGCGCATCACCTTTCTCTGTGGGTGTGTTTCTTCCAGTGTGCCGTGACGTTGAGGTTTTAGTCCGCCATTCTGCAGGGATTTCACAGCCGTCAACAGAGGGCAGTATTTTGAAAGGGGTCTATATTGGTTAGTAGCTCGATCTTGTGACACAATCTCTTTAACTAACTGCTTGCCCATAAAGTTTTCATACTGATCCTGCCCTGATCAAGACCGTAATGTGACGTTTTGCCGCGGGAGACAGACATACGTCCTATACTACACGCTGCCCAGCTTATTTCCCTTGTATTCCTTTTAAAACTATGGAGTTAATTGAAACTTTAATTGATGACTACCAGTAAAGGTAATTTTTGTATAAATAAGGAAGTTTGTTGGTTTTTGATTTTGGTTTATTTTTATGAACTGATACGATAATGGATGCTGGGATCCCAAAAATCTTAGGAAGGACCCATCAATTGAATTTAAATCTACTATTTCAAAACAATTATATCCTACTATACACAAAGAGTCGCCTAATGCTGAGTGGCTCAAAGTTTATTTAGTAACCTTCCGGTATCCCCGAAGATGTTAAGGAAACAAGAGCGCTGTCTCATTGACGAAAGGTCCCGGTTGAGGCTTGGTCATCCCATATCAGGAGCCTCGCCTTGAGCAAGCAACCTTACTTGACAGGCGGATGAATGATTGAGAAAATATAACATTAAGAAGAAACAAAGTTCTGCAAAACTAATATTTGGGTAGAATGGATTTAGCTCATTTTACCTTCTAACAAAAATTCCCTTAGAATTGCACGGGTGCACTTCAGAATACATCAGGTGACACGGCATCCTGTAATGCACTGACCACCTGTCTACGCTCGCCGACCAGAAAATTCCGAACGTTCCTCAGCTATGAATTAGTAGTTACTGTCGTCGTGCACTGATGAAAATACAAAAAAAAGTTAACTAAAAAAAATGTTTCAAGTTTCGCGACGAACTTAGCGCACGCGATGCGTGCGCCCAGTGCGTATATCAACAGGCTGATGTCACCACGTGTAAGGGAGAAAATTCACAAGGTAACTGGGAATTAAATTACTGGAGTTCTGAACAAACACCAGAGTTATAGATACAGCTAGCGGTTCAATTAAAACAGAATCAAGTAGTTATACGTTGCAGGATACCAAGGGCCAAGCACACAATTATAGATGCTTTACAGCAGTTGTGCATGGGCGCCGCCATAACTGACCTTCAGTTTTTGTTTCCGCTTATTCCATTTTTTTTTCACTTCGTCATTACCATAGCAGTCCAGGTTTTTGCCATCTTAGATTCCATTGTGTCCTTCTTCCCAGCATTGGCCTTTCTGGAGGCTCGTCAACACCCGTTCCGGTGGCTCGGTATCGCAGGTCAGCAATGGTGGCTGCATTCTGGCGCGTGTGTAAAGCCTCTATAGGTCCCTGGAGTCGAATGGGCTCGAAGATAGCGAACTGGGGCGTGGCCATGGCGTTGGCATTACGCGTCAGTGACGTAGTTAACGAGCTGTCAAGCAGGCCACGTCCGTTAGCACTGTTCTTCTCCTACCTATGGCCCTGCGACGAAGCTCAGGCCGGTTATGGTTATGATAGAAGACGGTCCTGCAAAACAACCCAAATCGGCCGGCGCTACCACGGCGAACGCCATTCGTCGGTAGCACCTCTCATTACATGTGCATCGTCTGCGAAGTGGCGGCGTAGAGTGCCCAGAAAAGGATTCTGCTCATTGTTGTGGTTGTTGTTGGTTTTTTTTTTTTTTTATTGTTGTTGTTTACTGTAAACTTTCAAGCTTGCACCTCTGTAGTAAATTGCAGCGCGATAGAAACTGATTTTGGCGGGACGTCTGAAGTTCCTTAAAAGCGTTAGCTCACACGCCGTAGATGCTAAAAGCCTAGGTAACAGGACACTCACCGCACGTGAGTGGTTTAGTCGACGATAGCATACGCACAGAAAGACGGCAACGCCCTAAGGTTACAATTGTGGTGCCTCGTAATTGATATCATCGGCATCTAGTGAGGGCTTCTGTCTAAGCGGAGATAAAACAAAGTTTAGAAAGGACCTTTTTTTTGAGAAGGCTGGAAAAAGGCGCTGTTGCCAGTTTACGAATCCGCGAACCTCCAGTCAAATTTTACGACACTTCATATTGTTAGCGAAAGGTCCGGCTAGCGAGAGATGTGTCGTACATTTCTCTTAATACTTTTATCAAACGACCGTTTCCCTCGTCTCTTTTTTATGAGCCGAGATACATAGAGGGAGGAGAAGACTTGAGCGCGCGGGGACGTCAGCTAGCCAAGCTCTGGTTCGGACCATTAGTGGGTAGACCTAGACCTAGCTGCCTATGTATCTAAAGCATTAGTCGAACGCATTTGAACTCGAAAGCCAAACGCCAGACGCCGGCGTTACGCGTTCTAACGCGTTCAATAAGTGCAGTGGAGACAAAGGCAGAACTAGCTTTAGGTCTACCCACTATTCCCTCCGACCAGAACTCGGCGTTCTGACGTCTCCTCCGCACTCTAGTTTCCTCCTCTCCCCTCAGTTTCTTGGGGCGTACCTCAGTAGAAGGACCTCTCTAGATCCCCAACTTCATGAGTTGTGGAATACTTTATCGTCCCTGAAATATTTACATTAACAGGTTCGGAAAGCATGCCGAAACGAAGCGACCGGAAGTTTCTTGGGGGGAAAGAGACTGCTTTTGTTTGTACATAGTAAAAGGGTCTATAAACATTTTTCTACGCGGGCATCACTACCTTGAATCGTTGAACTTTCAATATGCGCCAGAAAACACTGTCATTCTCACGCCAATTCACTGGTCAGTATTACCGTTTTATTTACGACTGTTCTTTTTTTTTTTTTTTTTGTCCCTTCAATTATTAATTGAGCGAGGTCGTTAAATATTGTTTTTTCGTCTCGCGTAGTGGATGAGACAACTACATCGCTGGGGACGTTTGTAAACAAAAAAAGATATTTAAATACTGGCAATTTGAGAAAAGCAGGTTCGAAGTTATGACGTTCACGCTTTTTGCTTCACAATTTGTTGCTCCGCGTTATTATCGACGAGTACATAATCTCATTGACTCCCGAGTAATAATAAGATGTACTCGACTGGTTTCATAAAAAAAAGAGGCTAAAGCTTAAATAATATTTTTTTCCAACTCAATATTGAATTTGTAAGGGACCGTCAAGAACAAACAAAAGAGGGGCACATTGCGCCCCACTGTTCCCAGAGGAGACGTACAGAAAAGCCAGCTCACGGCTCAGTGCGTGGACTCCCACAAAGGAGACTCCGTCATCGTAGAACATTCCCATGCTTGCGTTTCCACAGACGCCTCCGATCTTCGTCATAGCTAAAATGAAATCAGACGGTCATCATTCATGCGAGAAGGCTGTTCGGCAGTCTTATCCTCTAGTCAAAAAACGATGACTCTAATTTTAATCGCACGAAGGCTATCTGAATTGTTAACGAACTAATTACATGCAAGGCACATCGTGTAATACCTGCACTATACGTTTTGGAGTATATGTCATCTAAGCGTCTTTCTTTATACTTCCGATTCCCAGAAAGGTTGAGTAAGTCCAACAATATTTTCGTATTAAAGTCAAATGGCGATGTGAAAAACATTTTAAAGCATGAAATGCTTTTTTAACGTTCGATAAAATACACTTTAAAAATGCTTCAGGGGTTTGAGATGTTCGTTAAATTTTGCTAAGGGGCCTGACGTACCGTTTAAGAATTCCTAAAGTGTGTAAGACACCCGTCATGAATTTTCGAGAGGCATGCGGCGTCTGTTCCAAGCCTTTCTGTGATACCGCAGCACCCGTCAAAATCGTTTTAACCGTTCTATGGGAAAGATCATGTGAACCTTCAGAATATATGCGTCGGGGAAGAAGCTTGGCCATTTTGTAGTGGGGCGGTCTCAACGAGCGATATAAATTGAGGAGATGTTCCACCGTCCCTATCTTGTCGTGGCCTTTATTGACGTTGCTCTGTCTGTGTGTTTTGTGAATGTGTTTCATGAAAAAACTGTGAGTACGCAGGCGAGCTGGTGGAAGTTGATCATGATGTAGAATACTCGAATGCCCATCGGCTGCTCCAATGCTAGCAGAAATCTACCTTAGCAACATGGATGCAACAGTAGCGGATAAATTGAATTGTAATTCATCGAGTACGGGTTTCGTAAGAAAATATGTCGTTGACATATTGATCTGCTCATTTCGCGAAGAGGATGTGCTCGATTTGGAACGGACAGTGAGGGCAGCGGCGCCGGAAATTAAGTTCATCTTAGAAAAGGCGGACAATGGTATTCTACAGTTTCTTGACCTACGCATTCACTTGGAGGGGGGGTTATGTTGGGAGTACGGAAAAATGACCGCAAGAACCCGTTTGGGTAGAAAAAGTTGTCATGCTAAATCAGTAAAAGCAGGTGTAGTCAGAGCTCTAATCAGCAACGTACTGGACAAGTCGTGTGCCCATTTTAAGGCTTGTGCGGTAGAAAGGCACTGGTCAAGGTTAGAAGATGCAGGTTATGGCAGTGGGTTCATAAAAAGAATATTTGAATTGCAGCAAAAGGCTAAACAACGACCAGAAAAGGAAGCGAAAACGCATCATGCGGTTATTCCGTATTTTCACACAATTTCTCACAACCTTAAAGCATACGCAAAGAAATTTGGGAAGGATGTAGCGTGTAGGTTCGACTTTAAACTGAGCCGTTTGACACCGTTTCAGACAAGTCAGAAAGTGTGTTAGAAAGCGCACCGTTATAAGTCGGTTGATTGCGAGGAAGGGTTGGTCTATGAAATATCACTGAAGTGCGGTTTTAAATATGTGGGTCAAACGGCACGGTGCGTAAATGATAGATTTGAAGAGCACAAAAGAAATGCAAAAGTAAGCGTACCCAATTCAGAGATTGCTAAACATATTAGTGAGTGCAACGATTGTATGGCACTATGGTCGTAAACTGACATTGTGCAAAAAGAGTGCGACAGCGCTAAGAGGCTCATGAGAGAGACAGTTCCTGTCAAATCCATCGGTAACTGTATCAGCCATGCTTCGATGCAACTCGGAAGTAGCTCCAAGAAGTTTTTTAGAAAGTAATGTTTTGTCTTTTTTTTACATTTCTAAGTGAACGCGCAATGAGTCATTTGGCGGGCAAGTGTTCAGTTGAAGGACATATCAATTCTCGTTAAGACAAAGCACAGCCTTTTCAGTCTCCGGCTGGAAGGGAAGAAAGTTCGGTATGTTTGTTTCGTGTTTTTTTCTTTCAAGGCCCTAAGTTTTTACTTTGGGATTGAGGTCACCGTTTACGGTCGATGTGAAGACCAGTGTGGGTAGGATTGTATAACAATGGCTGACTTTGTGACGTCGGTGGTCGGTGATTAGGTTGTGGATATATAAGGCTTTGAGGAAATAAACGCGGTAGCTAGGTTTGAGATGGTCTTTTCCCCTGTCTTTTTTTCTTCGACCAAGTTTCCCAGCTTTTACCACAGTCTCGGGTATTCTACACCATGATCTGTTTCATGGCCTAGATTAGAGACGCCCAAGCACATCCAGTCCTCGTTCACGAGAAAAAGTGGGTAGGTAGAGAAAGTGGGAGGGGGATAACCAAGATAACCTGTTTATAGCAAGTTGAAAGGGGGACCGGTGCTGAGCAGCCTTAGTGGGAAGCTGGTCGCCCTGTTTTTTCTTCGTCAACGAGCGCAAACTCTGCAACTACGAGCAAACGTTCAGTGTCGGCTTCCCCTCTTATGCGTAACACCTAACTTCTAAAGCAGCTCTTGTTCCTTGCGCCTCTTCGTCTGTCCGGCTTCAGAAGCATCCCGCGAGTGAAAAGGGTGCTGGAGGCGCCAGCACGACGGCACCAGAAACCAAACCGTGACTGTGCTCAGGATTTCACAACGGCGGCGGATGATGGTTGGCATTGGTGGTTTTCACCAAGCATACTACTGACAGCACCTGTACACGCGTGTGGTGCACCTCCTAGGTTTTAGTTGAACTGCCGTACGTTTCAGGAAGTTACCCAACGCCGTTGTGAGTACCTCAAAAGATATGTTTTGCGACAGAGAGCTCGGTTAGTCCCTATCTGATCTGGTCGCTTTTATCTAGAGCTGCTTGCCCCCAGGTTTGAGTGAACGTGGATTCTTATCGTTTTTTTAGTTACAACATAACTGTAGAACTGAATGTCTTAAATAAATTTACAATAACATTTTAAGCTGCATTTCCTGTCTATGGATCACAGTCATTCGGCCGTCTGAAGGGTTGAAGGGCTGAGGGAATATGAATGACTGAAGGATCTGAAGGGCTTAAGGGGTTTCAAGAGCGAAGGGGTTCGATGGGCTGAGGGGTTTGAGGGTCTGAATGGATTTTAAGCGCTGAGAGGGTCCCATAACATATTAGGGCTGAAGTGTTATTTTCAATAGGACCCAATTCCAAACGTTCTTCGACCGTCCGTCCATGCATTTCCTGTTAAATTTAGCGGGAAAATTGATATCACCAATCCTATACACAAATTCAGTTTCTGAGCTAAATTTAGCGGGCTATTGTCGCCACGTGAACTGTACACCAGTTCAGTTTCCCCGCTAAATTTGGCGGGTAAGTAGCGTCACGGGACCTACACATCTTGGGGGAAATGACGGCACGTGTCCTATCCATCAACTGATTTCCGCACTAAATATAGCGGGAAAATTCACGTCCTCTGGCGAAAATATCAAATCACTTTCCCACTAAATTTAGCGGGAAATTGACGTCACGTGACCTATACGGCCTCCAAGTTTGTCTGCTCTTGGCGCACCTCGTGCGGTTTTTACTCCCCAACGCCCCCACTTGCTTCTGTTTACCCCCGACCTCGACCAATAATGGCGCGCCCTTGGCTGCCTCGCCATTACGCGCTCCTTACGCGTTATCTGTGTTGCCCTTTGATTGGCATCCTCCTTCTTGCGTTCCGATGCGCAAAAGACGCGTTTTAACGCGATAGCGTTTAAGAGGTCCTGTCGCAGAAGATCCGGCGTCGGTGTCGGTGGGACCAAAATCCCCATAATGCAACGGGCAGCACCATGTCACGTCACAGGTGGCTGTGACGTCATGACCCTATCGATCCACTAAATCTGGTGGGAAAATTTTCCCGCCTAAATTAGCAGAACAGTTTACCGCTAAATTTAGCGGAAATTTTTTCCTCCAAATTTAGCAAGAAACTTTCTGCTAAATTTAGCAAGTAAAATTTCCGCCACGTTTAGCGAAACATTTTACTGCCAAATTTAGCGGTAAAATGTTCCGCCAAATTGAGCGAGAAATTTTCCGCTAAATTTGGCGGGTCAATGGGGTCATCACGTCGCAGCACGTGTGACGTTACGTGACACGTGACGCTACCGAATATAGACCACGCACAGACGCCTGCACGGCTTGGAAACGAGTGCGGGTTCATATGAAAAAGCTTGGAGAACGGGGCCCGATAACGCTATCGCGTTCTACTCTTGCAGGATTCATCGAACTTCTTCAGCTATACCTCACATCTATGATGATGGAACATGAAAGAAAGATCTGGCTTAAAAATCCGGTTTTTGCATCGGGTCATGCCATGTGCCAGAACGAAGTGAAATGTATTTGTCCTACGTAAACCGTGCCGCCGAGGCAAACCTAAATAGCACAACCCCCCAGGGTAAAGTCTTCCGCTACGGAGGTGGCTGTCCCATCGCCCACCCTGAAACTATAAAAGTGGAGATCATTCTTCCTTCTTTCCACCAAGCAGGTGGTAATCTCAGGTTCAAAAGGGAAGACCCATCTTCGGAAGGCCTGCAATTTTCGGACGTGCGACTGACCAAGACGAGGGAAGGTATTTGCTCGACTTTCCAACAACGCTCGAAAATGTCGGTTCTTCCGTTTAAAAGTGCCCACTCCAAGTCGGTTAAACTGGGGGTAATCAAGGCCTTGCTCATCTCGGCAAAAACGAACTCATGTTGGTATTCTGCAACCAAAAGCATCAACACCCAAACTGAACGGCTTCTGAGCTCAGGATATCCAGTGGAAGGGATCGCCTCCCGTTTTCACAAACTCATCACACCAAGAACTACCAGCAAACCCTCACCTGCACGACAAAGGATCACTAGCATCCCATAAACTCACAAGGTATCCCATCGCATCCGATCAATCGCTACCCGATTAAACACGAAAGTCGTCTTCTCCTGCTGATTCAAACTGGCGATCCTGCGCATTATGATTAACCGGAAGGAGACAAAGCCGCCCTGAGAAAGAAAACACCATTCCCACTTCAAAAAATGTGCTACCGAGAAGGTGAATTCGGTGCTCCTCAAATACG